TTTTGGGAAACTTTATGCTTTCAGTAACCGGATAATTTTCTTAAAAATTAAATAACAGTTTTCCAAATTATGTCACGATTTTAAGGTAGCACCCCGAATCAATTTTCGCAAAGTAAAAAGGCTTTATTTTTAAATAACTTTGCGAATTTTTCGCACTCTGATTTTACGATAAGGAGGGGTGTTACATTATAACCTGACTTAAATCGCATTATTGATTGATTACATATATTTTTAATAAGATATTTATATTAATATCAATTCTATAATGATTTGGTGGCACAATTAAATAAAAAAAAAATTATTTACTGTTATTATGAAGTTTGATTGGGTTAGTTATATCACCATCTCATGGTTGTAGATATTAATTTAACTAAGTATGTTGGCTAATAAGAAACACTTAAAATATATAATAAGATAAGCAAAATAATTATGTACTAATCATGTTAACTTAACTAGTATTCGACCTTATCCATTTGCACATATATAAATAAAGTATTATAAGTTATTTATATGCATATAATATTAAAATTATAAGTCAGATACTAACATTAAATTTTAAATATAAAGTATTATAGGTTATATTTATTCATATAGTATTAAAATATAATTTAGATAATAGTATTATGTTTAAAAATTTGGTCAATGGTGAAATAAATGGTACGTAACTATTTGATTGCATATGAATCACTATATTGATTGCATAAAATTTAAAAAAAAATGTAATATTTGTAATTTTGAGATATCATGACCAATTAATTTGAATAATATTAAATTTACTATAACAATTGCTTATGCAATTTTAAAGGATTTTATATGACATTAAACTAAATTAATTTATCTAAAAAACAATAGATTAATCAAATAAAAAAATATGATATTGATTTTAAAATAAATAACTTGAACAAAAAAAAAAAAATACAATATAATTTTTTATGTTTATGTAACTTTTATATATCATTTAGTTAAAATATAATTATTAATATTAATAATAACTATTATATGGTACAAGAAAAAAATATAGTTACTACTCAACTAATAGAAAATGTAACGGTTTTTATCTTAACTAACAGAATCAATTTTTAGAAAGTTAGGTACCACGTAGATATAATTTATGAGGTAAAATTTATAAGGTTTTAATTGATGGATTAATACCAATTTTATATATATATATATGTGTGAATAAGTTAAAATATTAATAAAGTTTGCTATAATGTAGTCAACTTAAAATATAAAAAAGTGAATCTCCGTTGAAAATATCATTTGTATTGATAACAATACTGGACAATTAAAATAATATGTTAAGAAAATTATTATTTAATGGTAGAATGCAATAAAAAATTATAAAGTTCACATTAGAAATATCTATATGCATTAAAAAACTATTTAAACTGTAAAAAAAATATAGCTTTATTATATAATAAAAATGAGTAAATAAATAATATAATCAAGCATGATTGAAATTATAGCATTTGGTTATCAATTTTTCTTTCAGAACGATAGAGAATTTTATATA